ATAAGATCCACACTGCCAGGACTCCCCGTGCCATCACCACTGCACCACCAGACACTTCTTTTCTTGCTTTTGCATATTTCCTTGCTGGTGCAAGAACTAAATCACTCAGGATAAAGAAACTTTAAACCAGCATAGTAAGAAAAATGTCTCCACATGGACAGGGAAAAGGAGAAAGGAAATAATAGACTATTAAGGGATTATTCCATTGGAATGGACCTTAGAGATCATCTAGTCCCAACCCCCTGCCCTGGGCTGGGACACCTCCCACCACACCAGGATGATCAAGGCTTCATACAACCTGGCTTGGAACACTGCCAGGGTTGGGGCAGCCACAGCCTCCCTGGGCAACCTGTGCCAGTGTCTCACCACCCTCACAGGGAAAAACTTCTCCCTGATATCTAATCTAAATTTCCCTCTTTCAATTTCTCCCCATTACTCCTTGTCCTGTCACTGCAGTTCTTAACCAAGAGTCCCTCTGCAGCTTCCCTAGATCTCTTCAGATCCTGGCAGGTTGTTCTGAGGCCTCCACACAATCTGTTCTCCAGGCTGAACAGCCCCAACTCTCTCAGCCTGTCCTCATAAGGAAGGTGCTCCAGTCCTCTGATCAGCTTTGTCGCCTCCTCTGGACTTACTCCAACAGTTTCATGTCGTTCCTATGCTGGGGACAGCACAACTGTGTGCAGCACTCCAGATGGGGTAAATACACACTAAATACAAACTAAAAGGGACACATGGTGAGCTGAGCAAACAAGAGGGCTGTGAACCCAACTGCATGGGCAACACGGGAGGTGAGTGACAGGAGGACCTGGATCCACCACACCTATATCTACAGCCAAATCCAGCCTGGAAGCTTTCTAGAGGTGAGAATTTGTACTGTAGCCTCTTGACTCGAAACCTGGCCCTGGGCTGTCACGACACTGAAGCAGCACAGGTAACTGAGGGAGCCACAATACCTGTGGAACAGTCCATCTGGATCAAATGTGAGTCACTGTCAGTTTTCATTTTTTTAGCACTGTTCTCTGAGGTAGAGGTGACAAGTAAGTTTGTAGCAGAAAAATAGGGTGTCTGCAGGGAGCTCTGATCCATACAGTCCATTTTCCTTTTTAGAGAAGACATGGTTATGGAAGAGGGCACGAGGGTCTCTGAGGCATGAGCCCTCCCGAGCAGGTTGGTGCCAGGGATGCTGTGCTGCAGGAGGAAGTGGTCTATCCTGGCCTTGAGGGTGGGGTGAGGTAGGGGCTGTGAGTGCTGGCTGAAGGCCACCCCAGTGAAGGGATCACTGGGAACCCTGCCCCAGGACGCCTCGCTCCGGTTGCACTTTTCCAAGGTGGTCTGGTCAATCACCTTCCCGGAGGGCAGGAGCATGGGTAAAGTCATGATCTCCAGAGTGATGGGGTCCAGGAATTCTTCAGGAATGTCTTGGATGACATCCACCAGCTTGCGAAGGGTGTGCTGCTCGCTGTCGTTGGCAGTGAAGGGCACGCAGTCGCTCTCCATCGGCGTCCAGAGCTCTGGCTTGAGGCTGCCAACGTCCTGGGCCAAGAACTGTGAGGCCACCTGAAAGACACCCTCGATCACCTCCTGTGGGCACGATTTGGCGGGTTGTCCCCACACCTCCAACCTCTTGATGCAAGGCAGGCCACCCCCAGCCACGTGGGTGATGCAGATTTTTAGGTGCGACACGTTGCTGAGCGAGGCAGGTCCTTTGTTCCAGAGGTCTTGAGACACGGAGCCAGGGTAGGAGAAGACATTTTCCATCTGATGGAAGGGAGGCCTCGGCTTGAAGCCTCTGTGGCCAAAAGTCACTTTGCTTTGATTTTTTAAGACAGCTTTGCCCACCAGTGTGAAAGTGTCTTTGTCTGACACAGGCTGCCCGGCCAGGCCTGAGAACTGCCCCTCAGGGCTCTGCCAAGAGGTTTTATTGCATGAGGTAGAGGTGTAAACTTCAAGCCCGGAGAAGGTTTGGTATCCGGCGGAGGAGACGTCGATGTTAATCCTGCAGATCTCGATGTTGAAGGGAAAGGAGATGGTGACGTGCACTGGAGGTTTGATAAAGTATTCGCTGCGGAAGCCACGATTCCTCCTGGCAAGGTCTTCAGAGATCAGATTCTCCACTTCGTAGCCATCAGCAGAAATCTGAGTACCAGGAGAAATGTGGGTTTAGTTTGGAGCAAGAAAACCAAAGGAAGCTAATTTCACAAGCACTGAGGTAGAGTCTCAAGATGACATCAACTAGCAGCCAAGGCTGTGGTTTATGTGCAGCTGAGACACAGCAGGAGATCCCTGCTGAGAGGCAGAGCAGACCCACTGGCC